TGCTTGGATATGAGACCAAGATGCTCAGAGCCCGGGCAGGTGCTGGGGCAGCAGTGAGAGCCCCTGCAAAACCAGCAGGAGAAGAAGCAGAAGAACCTCATGAGACTGACTGGACAGTCCCAAGGGCAGAGGGAACATGATGTTGATCATAGGATCACAGACTGGTTTGGGTTGGAGGGACCTCAAAGCCCACCCAGTCGCCCCCTGCATGGGCAGGGACACCTCCCAGCAGCCCAGGCTGCTCCAAGCCCCATCCAACCTGCCCTTCAACACCCCCAGGGATGGGGCAGCCACAGCTTCCCTGGGCAACCTGGGCCAGGCTCTCCTCACTCTCATGGTGAAGAATTTCTTCCTGATGTCTAACCTGAATCTCCCCTCTTTCAGGTTAAAACCATCACCCCTTGTCCTCTCGCTGCCCCTGCTGGTGAGAAGCCCCTCCCCAGCTTTCCTGGAGGCCCTTCAGGCACAAAGTGACAAAACAACCTTCAGTTCACACTCTACCCATCGATCTCATGCCTTCAGTGCTGTTAGAAACCCAGAAGGAGCAGAGGGGCCTTTCCCAGAAGAGCTGCAGCTGATGCTGAGCATCCCTGGGGGAGGAGCAGGGGCTGTGCCCCCCACGCACACTCAGGGGGAGCTCTGGACCTGGAGGTGTGAGAACATCAAGAGTCTCACTCCTCCCAGCCTGGCAGAGCTGCTGTGAACCTGAGCTGCAGCTCCTGAGCTCCTGAGCTGCTCGTTTCCTCCCCCAGCACAGGGCTGAGAGGGCACAAAAGGCACCAGGCAGGTGGTGGGTTCGGGGTGGGCACCAGGAGACACTTTCCCTCCATTGTCCTTGGTCTGCAGAACCTCCTGGATGTGCCAGGATGGTCAGAGGGGGTTGGACCAGCAGGACGAGCTCTCGGGGCTTTGCCAGAACATCCTGCCATTTGTGACTGGAAAGGTGGGTTGGGAAGGAGGGAGAAGGGAAAGTTGTGCCAGGGAGAAGCCTGATGGGGTTCCCAGGGATCGTGGCAGTGGGAGATGAATGAGCAAGCAGGAAAAGGGGGGTGAGGGCAGAAATGAACCCGCAGCAGCAGGAACGTGATCCCTGGGGGGCTGCAGGGGCTTTGAGGGCCCCCAACCCAACCCAACCCAACCCAACCCAACCCACACTCCAGGATTCTCCTCTCCCGTGCTGGGGACTCGGGGAAGGAGCAGCAGGAGCAGCAGGAGCAGCAGGAGCAGAGGACACCAGGCCCAGCCCAGCAGGAGCAGCCAGGCCAGGCTGGGCAGGTCTCTGGGCGTCACCTTTACCTGCAGGAACAGATCCCAAGGCTCTGCTGCCACAAACACCTGGACTGGAGCAGGAACAGACCTCGGGCTGACTCGTAGGGCTGGAAAATCTGCCCTGTCACCCTCTCTGGCTCAGAAAAGAGGGAGATGCTGTGTCTCATGTCAGCCAGCTCCTGCTGTCAGGAGTCTTGCTGAGGAAGCACCATCAGATCCTGCCTGGAAAGAACCTGCTGAGCCTGAGGGAGCCACTCCTGGCTCTGCTCATTGAGCCTCCTCACTTCCTGCAGGTGGTTTTGATTTCTTCCAAAAGAGATGCACAAATGTGGGAACCATCAAGTAAACCCCAGAAATGGTCTTGCTGCCATCACAAGCCTAAGTCACTCGTGACCTGCACGGATATAAGGATCCCTTGGATCCCATCTCCAGCTCCCTCTGCCAGCTGGAACCCCTTCCCCCTGCTCCCATCCCTCCCTGCCCTTGTCCCAAGCCCCTCCCCAGCTTTCCTGGAGCCCCTTCAGGCCCTGGAAGCTGCTCTCAGCTCTCCCTGGAGCCTTCTCTTCTCCAGGCTGAACACCCCAACTCTCCCAGCCTGGCTCCAGAGCTGCTCCAGCCCTCCCAGCATCTCCAGGGCCTCCTCTGGCCTCTCCAGCAGCTCCTCACCCAGCACCCCTAGACACACACACACATATATCTATAGATCAGGGTTATGGTGCATTTGCATCAAACCATTTGTAAGTCCCAAAAAGTGCAGGTGATTCCTGTGAAGAAATATCTCCAGACCTCCCAGCTTTGGCATCACCCCAGTGACCTCTCCCCATCTGCCCCCCTGCTGCTCTCTGCCATGAATCCACCCCGAGCTGTGCAGGACAGGAGATGCACCAGGTTATGGACACTCTTCCCTTGTCAGACTGAGCAGGAGGGGAGAAGTTAACTGGGACCTGAAGGGCTGTTGGTACCTGTTGTCACAGCAGTGTGAGCTGATCTCTGGCCAAGGAATTAATGGTGTTAAAAGTGGGGCCTCCAGGAAAGCTGGGGAGGGGCTTGGGACAAGGGCAGGGAGGGATGGGAGCAGGGGGAAGGGTTTCCAGCTGGCAGAGGGAGCTGGAGCTGAGATGGGAGGGAGAAATTCTGGGCTGTGAGGGTGGGGAGCCCCTGGCCCAGGTTGCCCAGGGAAGCTGTGGCTGCCCCATCCCTGGGGGTGTTGAAGGGCAGGTTGGATGGGGCTTGGAGCAGCCTGGGCTGCTGGGAGGTGTCCCTGCCCATGCAGGGGGGCACTGGGTGGGCTCTGAGGTCCCTCCAACCCAAACCAATCCATGATTCTGTGATTCTAAACAGAACAACTTTACCCAGTGCCCCAGGGAGGTCCTGGGCAGAAACCTGCCAGGAATGCTGGTTCCTGAGCCAGAGTGCCCTGAGCTTTTGGATTCCCTGCAGCTGCAGAATTCCTAACATCCCTGCCCACCTTGCAGGTTCCCTCTGGGTTCTGCACTGTTCTGTTTAGTGTCCTTCCCCCCAGGCACAGCTCTGGGCACATCTGGCTGCAGCTGGCAGAGCTTTTGGGGTGCTGGCAGGAGTTTGAGGTGGTTGAGCTGCAAGGAGGGTCTGGAGCTGCAGGTCAAACCACCCAGTCCCTGCCCAGGAGCTGCCCCCAGATGAGCTGGGGCTGAGGGTGTTTGCCATGGCCAGGGGCTGGGGCAGCTCAGGGTTTCAGCCACTGTCTCCTGACATCCCTGTGAGGCTGTTCTGTTCAGCTCACCCTGTGCCCTGGTCCCTGGGGTGGGGGAGCAGAGGAGCCCCTGGCCTCATTAGGCAGCGTCGCCTCGTTAGGGCCCGACCCTGGAACTGCCCTTTCTGGGCATTTTGTGGCAGGTTCAGGGTGGACCATCCCAGGAAGGGCAGCTGAGGGCAGGTACCTCCTGACTGCCCCTGGGCAGTTGTCCTGGGGGGCCTGGAAGGGCCAAATGAGGGAAACATTTGGCAGGAGCCCTGGGAAATGCCCAGCCCTGCTCCCTGAGAACTGGTTGCCAAGGGCTCTCATTAAGGTTAGACAGCAATTAGCTGCTTTCCTGCCTTGGTTCCTTCAAGGAGGTTCTGAAGAACCTGTCAGCTCTGCCCGGTCTGAGGGGCAGCAGAGCAGGACACACCTCACCCTCCTGCTGAGAACTCCCAGGAGGAGCTCCAAGAAGCTGCTGCCTCCTGGTCTGAACTTTGCCTGCACTTCTGTTTCCTGCAGGTCCCCTGAGCCCAGAGTGAGAATCCAGCTCTCTGGGAACTGAACCACTGCTGCTGGAAACCCCTCCTGCTGCTGCCCAAGGAGCTGAGGCACAGACTGGAAATGCCCCCAGTCCACAGGCAGCTGTGGAACCACCAGCTGACAGAGCATTGAACCTCATTGATGTGCTTGTTTCTTTTACTTAATTCATTTAATTCATTCATAAACTTCATTTTCTTTTCATTGCCAGTCACAGTTCCCAGGTTTTTGTGGCACAAGCTGTGGGGAATCTCCTGAAACAGGGATCATGGGTTGGGTTGGAGGGA